GGGTGCAGCAAACTGAAGACTAATAGGCACAGTATAAACCACATTTTTATGATAATAAAAAGCATATAAATACAGGGAGGCAGAGGACAAGGGCAAGGACAGTTTATAAATGCCTAAAAACAGATTAGGAAGAATGCCCATAAAATCTATCAAGAGTGGATGGTAGCCTAGAGGGCTAGGCCATTAATAATTATAAGAAGGGCTACTTTTCTTTCCATTTTTTTAAAATTAGGTCCTATTTTTCAAACAGACATTATGAATCATGTTGCATAATTACAGAAAAAGTAAAACTGACTCTCTTCAAGTAAAAATAAAGGCATTTCAAATATCAAAATAAAAAGTTTTCCTGGGTTGAAACACATGTCAAAAGTCCTATCGTTTTCTACACATCTAAAGAAATATACATGTGCATATATACATGAAAGTTTAACTTTTTATTAATGTAAAAAATTTCGAAAAATATTATTTTTAAATCTGTATGTTCAGGAAATTATATAAACTGAAAATATGAAAAGAACAATTTAAACTCAATCAAAACGCCATTCCTTGGCTTTCCAAAAGAGGGAGATATAACTCCACTGCCACAAACATACCAATTTGATACATAAATGATCTATTCAAATACACAACTTATCAAGAAAATAATTTTAAGGAAAAACTCTAAATTATGTGTTTATTTTGGCCTTATGATTTTAATTGCCTAAAAAGCACAGTTAAATCCATGAAAAATATCATGATCTACAATAATAAAATGAAAGCTGTTCCAGCTCCTTTACAGAAAGCTCAATAGTAGAATAAAAATGTGACAAAAGGCCGGGCACGGTGGCTCACGCCTGTAATCTCAGCACTTTGGGAGGCCGAGGCAGGCAGATCACGAGGTCAGGAGATCGAGACCATCCTGGCTAACACGGTGAAACCCCATCTCTACTAAAAATACAAAAAACTAGCCGGGCGTGGTGGCGGCGCCTGTGGTCCCAGCTCCTCCCCAGGCTGAGGCAGGAGAATGGTGGGAACACGGGAGGCGGAGCTTGCAGTGAGCCAAGATGGCGCCACTCACTCCAGCCTGGGCCACAGAGCGAGACTCTGTCTCAAAAAAAAAAAAAAAAAAAATGACAAAAGACCAAAAGTACTTATGCTATTTAGATTTTGAAAAATAGGTTTAGAGATGACAGATGTCAGTTACTAAAATTTGTACCTCCTGATTGTTATTTGAAAATTAAAATTTAGTATTTTTCTGAACTAGAGACAGAATGCTACCCATTTCTTACAATGATTATTAAAATTTTCTCTCCTTGAGCAGTGGTCTGTTGCTCCCATTGAAGAGGTCCTTCGCATCCCATTAGCTGTATTTCTAGGTATTTTATTCTCTTTGGAGCAATTGTGAATGGGAGTTCATTCATGATTCGGCTCTCTGCTTGTCCATTGTTGGTGTAAAGGAATGCTTGTGATTTTCGCACACTGACTTTGTATCCTGAGACTCTACTGAAGTTGCTTATCAGCTAAAGGAGTTTTGGGGTTGAGAGGATGGGGTTTTGTAAATATAGAATCATGTCGTCTGCAAACAGGGACAATTTGACTTCCTCTCCTCCTTTTTGAATACCCTTTATTTCTTTCTCTTGCCTGATTGCCCTGGCCAGAAGTTATATGCTATGTTGAACAGGAGTGGTGAGACAGGGAATACTTGTCTTGTATCAGTTTTCAAAGGGAATGCTTCCAGCTTTTGCCCACTCAATACGATATTGGTTGTGGGTTTGTCACAAATCACTCTTATTATTTTTAGGTATGTTTTATCAATGCCTATTTTATTGGGAGTTTTTAACATGAATGGATGTTGAATTTTATCAAAGTCTTTTCTGCATGTACTGAGATCATCATGTGGTTTTTGTCTTTGGTTGTTTCCATGATGGATTACATTAATTGATTTGCATATGTTGACCCAGCCTTGCATCCCAGGGATGAAGCTAACTTGACCATGATGGATAAGCTTTTTTGATGTGCTGCTAGATTTGGTTTTCCTGTATTTTATTGAGGAATTTCACATTGATATTCATCAGGGAAATCATTCTACTATAAAGACACATGCCCACATATGTTTACTGCAGCACTGTTTACAATAGCAAAGACATGGCACCAACCCTAATGTCCATCAATGATAGACTGGATAAAGAAAATGTGGTACATATACACCACAGAATACTATGTAGCCATAAAAAGAAATGAGATCATATCTTTTGCAGGGACATAGATGAAGATGGAAACCTTCATTTTCAGCAAACTAACACAGGAACAGAAAACCAAACACTGCATGTTCTCACTCATAAGTGGGAGCTGAACAATGAGAACACATGGACACAGGGAGGAGAACAACACACACCAAGGCCTATTGTGGGGTGGGGGTGAGGGGAGGGAACTCAGAGAACGGGTCAATAGGTGCAGCAAACCACCATGGCACATGTATACCTATGTAACAAACCTGCACGTTCTTTGGTGTGTGTCCCAAACTTAAAGTCAAATAAAAATAAAAAATAAAAATAAAGCTATAATAATCAAAAATTATAATAATTGAGATAACAGGTATACACTGGTACTGTTCAGGCAAAGCCAAACGTAGGGTGAGCCAGTAATAATAGTACTTACTGTATCAAGTTCTTGCAATGAGTCAATGACAAAATATATGTAAATTAGTTAGCTATCAATGGGAAACATTCAATAAGTGGTAGGTGCTTATGTTGGTATTTTTCATGCCTCCTACTTTGGCTAACAAAGCAAGAAAACCAGTGAGCTGTTTATTCTTATCTTTTAATAGATGATGCTGGGTCTAGTAATGAGGTAATGAGTGTTTAACAATATAATCATACAGATCCCTGTTTGAGAGGGAAAGGAACTTTATGTCTATTTAGTTATATTTATTATAGTGATTCTCCACCCAAAGGAGGAAAATCTGTTTTTCCAATTTAAAAACTTGAAACAGCCCATCGTGCCTCTTCCACAGACCTAGCTCCTTAGCTTGGCAGTTACTTCCACAGGAAGCCACTTCTACTGAGTGGACTGTGTCTGAGCTCTTAGGCTTATTGGAGCAGATAAACATTAAAAATAACTAATGTATTAGATTATTTCCTTACAGGAAGTAATTTTTATAATTCGGATTCCCTGTGCATATTACAGTAACAGGTACATAGAAGATACCCAATACATATTTGTTGAACTAGTGAAACTATGAATAAATAGAACTCGGCAGCTAAAAATCAACCTTATGAGGTGATGGCCTGCAACCAAAGCTCCACCATGATTGGGAACTTTCCTGTGCTTCAGCTAAAACATCTGAGGGTCACAGAATCAAGGAGTTCAGGGATTTCACAGCTGCAGCTGGTGCCAAGCAGCTGTTTGTGATTTAGATTGGTGCCTTTAGTTAATTGATTGTAATAAGTAAAAACTCAGTAAAGTTAATCTGCTAATTATCTCAAAAAAAATAAAAAAGAAAATGGCAGAAAAAATTTCCGCAACACTTTTTAAAAAGTAGTAAGTTCAGTTCTTAAAAAAAAGTTCCGAACCTAAAATAAAGGTTAAAAATAAAACAGCCATTAAGACCTAAAGCAGCAATGAAAACAATAACAGTTGCCTTGCCACAGTTTCTGTAAAATTAGCCCTTACAAACTATCGAAGAATCAAATTGTTTGATTTACTCCTTCGAAGACTGGGTCTCAAAATGGCTTTAACACTCAATACATTTTTTTTTCGAGTGTCTACTCTGCCACGCACTGTTCAAAGAACTGAGAGTATACAGGAGAAAAAAAAAACAACACACAGCAAAAACCATGCTTTCATGGAGCTTATACTGACATGGGAAGGGGATTATTTATATTAAATTTTAATTCCTCTTACCACAGACTATCGGTATTTTTCTCTTTTTCACTACAGATTAAGAAGAACCTTGACTGCCATCTCTTGTTAAACGTCTTCTTATTCCAAACAATATTCTTCTCTGCTTACTATTATTATGTGTGGCAATATCTTACTAAATTTTATATACACTTATAATTTCATTATTTATAAAATATTTTTAACAACCTACAAAATAAACATACTGTGCATTTTGATTTAATATATTTAAGTAACTCTGAGTTAATACTGTTAAATAACAAATGCCAATAAAAATAACAACTCAATCATAGGATTTATCATGCTAAATGTCCGAGGAAGAAAGAAACAAGGGACAAGGAAATATTATATAATTATATGACCATGGAGTAAAATCAAGCAAATGTGGAAAGATTTAGATCGCTTCTCTTGTAAACAAATGCCTTAAATCTGTAATCCAGACTTTGGAGCCCATCCCTCAGACATCCCTTGATGAGACAAGAGCGCCGACTCTAATTGCTCTGCAGACCTTGAATACAAAACCACATGGTCAACCAAGGCAGAGGGAGTGTGGAGGACACTCAGCCTGCCTCCAACAGAGAGACCCCTGGGCTAATTCAGGTGGCATTATCACAGAAGAATATGATAAACAAGACCGCAGCACCACCATGTCAGAGGTCAGAAAGAGGAAGAACCAGAAGAAGCAGTCTCCAAAATGCATGAGCGTCCAACACAGCATCCCCTCCCACATCAATTTCATCCGACTTCTTTACAGATAAAAATCCTCTCTACTTTGGCTGATTTGAAGACAGGTTTCATTTTTCCATTAAACTTTCTGTTTCCCAAGCTAAAGTTTTACAATTACTCAAAATCACTTTTAATATATCATTTCTTATATAAAGTTTCTAAACTTGTGATAATAATACAACTAAGTTTTGTTCCCTACCAGTCAAACAATTCTAATCTAACCCAATTCAACTCAGCAAGACCCTCTCCTAAATTTTCCTCCATTTGTACATTTAGACTGTTTCTCCCACACTTATCCTTCATCAGTTACACATTCTAATAGTTTAAATCAAACTTGGCAAACAAGATAAAAAGAACATGCCAAGTTCAGGAAAAAACAGGAGGGAGGAAACTACCTTTAACTTGGATCCATGAGGCACGAGTGCAGATTTATTCTGCTTTGGTGGAATATACAGCTTCCATTTTCCATAATCCAGTTTTTTATATGGGTATGAAAATGGATTCCAACCATCTAAAAAAATAAAGAAGATCAGTTAACAACAGCATGATAGGACTAATAATTAATGAATTTCAAGAAAAACAAAATACTGTTTTACTTGCACAAAAAATCAAATTGTCTAAAAAATTGTTTTCTAAAGTTTTAATCAAAATACTACTGGTTTAGAAAAGGCAGGTTATTCTTAATTTACTTATAAAATATGCATTTTGAAGTCTGCTTTTGCATTTTATAATTAAATTAAGACTATAACATTTTCAGTTGTGGTTTCAACTCTAATGCTTCTGTCAATAAACAGAATGCAAAAGAAAAACGATGGATCCTTTTTTTAGAAAACACCATCAACAAAAAGACACATTATGAACAAACAGAAATGTAGATGTCATGGTAGAAAAACAATGAAAAACCATTAAAATCATATAACATTTACTGAATTTCATAAGAGTGTGACAGAGTTGACATAAAATCTAAAGAAATGCCTTAAGCAAGAAAGACAGAATGTTATATAAAGTGTAGGAAGTAAAGAAAAGGTGGAATGCAGGATGTGGAAGAAAGTAAAACAAACAAGAGCAGACCCACACACACAGAAATTAACATATCATAAGGGAGGCGTTAAAAACCAGTGAGTCAAGGACACACTATTAAATAAGTCGTGCTGGAACAACTGATTATCCTTACGAAAATAAAATAAAACAGATCTCCACCAACTAGTATGTCCCCAAATCATTTGAACATAGATTAATATTTATACATGATAGGCAGAACCATAAAATGCTTAGAAGAAAACACAGAGAAATGCATTTACAATATTGGAATATAAAAGGTTTTTTAAATGAAATATTTTTTAAAACTATAAAACTTTAAGACTGGTAATTCTGACCATTAAAACTGTAAACTTATCATCATAAATAGATGAATCGACAGAATGACAAGACAAGCTATAAACTGGGAGAATACATTTGTAATGAATATACCAAAAGACAGAGAGCATCCACAATACATGAAGAACATTGTAAGTCAATGAGACAAAGAAAACAAACCAAGAGAAAGATTGACAAAAAATTTATTCAGGAGAGGACACTTGAATGGCCAATAAACATATGTAATGATACTCAAGCTCACTGTTTAATCAAGCAATCACAAATTAAAACAACAATAAGATACCATTTCACACTCAGGGCATTGGAAAAAATTAAAAGTCTAAAAATATCATCTAGTCAGCAACCATATAAAACATCGCTGCTGAAGGTAGTATCATTGGTAAAAACAACTTGACATCATATGTGATGCAAAGTTAAAGACATCTTAACCCCACAGCCCAACAATTCTGTTCCTAGGAAATAGCTTAGAGGAATTCTCATAAACGTACACAAGAAGGCATTCAAAATTATTCACTGAAGAATCCTTTGCCATAGCCAAAACACTGGAAGCTATCAAAATTTCAACAGCCACAATATGGGTAAAACTTTGCAATATAATTAAACAACTGGATGCTATACAATGGTATAAAATGAATGGATTAGAGTACCAACATATGCAAAATCCCACATACAAAAGTTAATTTTAAAAGGGTACAGAAGAATAGCATTTATATCAAGATCAAGAACTATCAAAACATTATATGAAACTTACTGATATATATGTATGTAGTAAAAATATTAAATCAGAAATAGGAATATGAAATATCAAATTCTATGGTGATTCCCTGTGGGTAGAAGAAAGGGAACACATGAAGCTTCAATATCTGCAATATTCTTGTTAAAGCGAGTTGTATACACATAGATGTTTATTACATAATTTGCTATTTGTTTATGCTAAAATATTTCATGGTATTAAAAAAATCAAGCAGCCTTGTGGCATATACTCTGTTGCTAAGAGACTACATTCTCAACTAAGGACATAATAAAGGAATAATCAGGAAACTCATCTTATGCCATGTTTCCTTCCATTACACACCAACATTTTCACTCTTCTCTCTCAGCCAGTCTGAACAATGGGGGTAAAACAGGAGTAAGAAATAAGATTTAAATAAAGGTTCTTCTAAACAGTTACCTATTCCCCATCATGAAGACAGTCTGAAAATGTGTAACAGCAGTTTGTCTCCAAGGGCAGCTCTACAAGTTTGGTGCTGTTATACTCCTCTTCACCTAAAAACCTCAAATACATCGCACCTAAATACGCTGTGACATTTCATTACCAAAACAAAGAGTTTAGTCCATAATTAGAGGAAAAAAATAACAAACGTTTGGAATATAAAAATCTAGGTAATAGAACACTATATGATTACTGCATTTCTTTTTAGCTAATAACTTAAGACAAACAGCAGATCTTTTCCCGGTTAGGTAGATCTGAAAATACAGGGTACAGTTCATTAGTTCATTCATTCATTCATCAAATATGTATTGCATGCTTAATGCAGGCCCTGTTCAATGCCAAACCAAATTTAGCATTCCAAATTAGTCCTATCTCATAGAGAAAAGGTTAAATTGGGCTATAACAGACCAATATAAATGAGAAGTACAATGGTATATCCACTAAAAATTTATTAAAAGATTCAGATACTTTGAAAGTGAAAATTCAATGATAGGTGAAATTTAGATATGCAGATTTATTTGTAAGAGCTGTTTCCCCACTGTGAAAATGGCTTCCAATATCAGTTTTTGAAAATTGATGAACTAATTCTTTAGCTTGATATCAACTATTATTTTAAGACTATTTAAATAAGCAAAGTATTAATATTTGGTAAAAAAAAAAATCTTTTACTGTGTCATATTTTTCTTTTATAATAGTGTAATGATACAAAATCTCCAAAAGCATATGCTGATTATTTGTAATTATACACTGTGAAAAACATGTTTTCTTTGCATCTTCAAGAGTTTCATTTTAGTAATGCCCTTCTCCTCATGGGAATTCAGGTGTTGGCTTTCACTGCAGGTACTCTTTTCTGCCAACCACAAATCTTTAAAGCAAGACTGAGAACAACTTCACATATTTACCCCCACCCAAAAAAAACCCAGTACGTTAGCCATCATAAGCTATGTAGAGCATTCTAAAGATTTCGTATGGGAGAGAAAGAAGGTTTGCAAGTATATACGTATGAAATTACTTAAGATTTTTCCATTACTCATTTTTCTCTCCAAATAAATCCCTCTTCAGCTACCCTACCATCAGATTTTCCATCTCCTTGACTCTTTCTTTAGTCATTGCAAAGCCCTCATTCCTTTATTAGTGTTTGTTTCTTCTTTCCATTAAAAACATGGGCACCAACCAAAATATCCACTTCTACCATACTACATCACACAAAGGAATTTTTCCAGCAAAACCAGTTCCTGCCTAATATGAGTTTCTCAAAATACCCAATAAAAACAGCTTAACTCCACAGAATACACATATGTCAATATCCAGAAACAGAATAATCAGGAAAATCACTGGATTTGGATCCGTGCTTATAAACTTAACATTAAACACTTAGCTAAGAAAGAAGGAACTATCATTAAGATGTATCCAGGTGTGATATTAGGAACCAATCACGGAAGCACAGTTAAAAATAAATACATAAAATTCAACTTCAAATTATTGGTATAAAAATTCTGAAAATTGATTTTAAGTAAAATTGGATTTAGAAAAACACAGAAGGCAAAATAATATAAGCTGGTAGACACATTTTAGGGAAATGCATGTCTTGTGAAATAAGTCATGTGACTCTACTACAGAATATAATTGAAAATAAAGTAATAATATTAATAACAATAATAAATTGTACCAAGCCATATCAGAGCCTATCTAAAGACATTTATAAAACAAATCAGGTCACTCAAACATTTTTCATTTAATCCTACACGACTTATGCTGAGTACACGAGAGAGAATTAATTATGTAATGCAAAGAGTTTGCATTGCTATGCAGACCTGAGGATAGAAACAAACATGACTTCATCATGTGTGACAATTATTTGCTTCTCTACCAAGCATAGAACTACACATAGAACTAGAATGGTCTCTATCTAGGTCAGTGGGTTCTCAAACTATACCTCACATGAGAATCACATGGATTTGTTAAAATACAGATTGCTGGGTCCCAGTCCTAGAGTTTTTTATAGAGATCTTTGGTGAGGCCTAATAATTTGCATTTCTAAAAAGGTCACAAGTGATGTTGATGCCAGTGGCCTAGGGACTACAGTTTAGAAACAACTGCCCTGGTTAAATCCACTTAACACTTTTGTGAGTAATTTTCTAGATGAAGTTAAACTAAAAGGCTATCAAATAATATAATATATCAACAGGTAAGGGACTTCTGAAATCAAAAATGTCTTAAGTAATCCTTTGAGGTAAGTGTTAATCACATGATATATAGGATTTAAGATTTAGGATTGACTGGGGTTATAAAGCCCAGGAAGGGTGACCAGGGAGAATCAGATTAAAGACGCAATTTCAGAGATCAAGGAATTTAAATGTATTAATGTGAGGGAACAGAAATGATAATGAGAACATGAAAAGACAACATGCATTAAAACCATTATTGAATATACTATTATTAGTGTCTATAGATAATATTTTCTATAATATTCACAACAAAACATAACTTGGTTAAAAAGTATAAGCAACTGATAACAAAATGAATAAAAAATTAAAGGTTTATTTTTCCCACAGAAAAGTGATATTAAACCTTTTAAATGTTAACAATATTAACTCATATTCCTGTCTACTCTCCATTATCTACCATAATCTAGATATTACTAGGCTCAAAGTTAGGTACCCCCAAAACAAGGTGTGCTTATTTTTTCAGTTTTGGTGAAATTTTAAGAACATGTTCCCTACATTCATAAATTATTTTATTACAACATCTGCTAAAACATTTGATGTTTATTGAGTACAGAAAACCTGATACAGTTCTGTTTTAACGATAAAATGTTAAAATTTATTAAAATTTAGGTACACAAATAAAGACCATACAGGCGCTATTTACAATTGAGATAAATGTAAACAAATATAAAGACCTTTATGATGATCCACTTT